TGGTTAGGACACGGTGTATGAGTGCTAATTATGTGTTAATTTATGTGTTAATTTATGGAACCTATCCATCCAAAAAGATAAAACTTAGGCCTATATTTAAGATTTATGTATTTTAATTTCATATAAAATTTCTAATGATTTGGATTACACTGTTTTAACTTAAGCTAATAAACATGTTGTGATGCATATTTGCCAGTTATACATAAATGCAATAAACTGTTTTAAAAGCACAGTAACCAGGTTTATACATTTATCATTGACAAATCATGAATACAGATTTATATGTAAACTAATTACATAAATGTAAACTGAGTCTTGCTTGTCCCACAGCTACCATATTTAAACCATTGTCATGTTTAAAAGTAAAAAAATGAATACATTATTTAATAAATGTAATTCAATTCAAAGGTTTTCACACATAGTTTTCACATAGATTTATGATGATTCTAAGGGATTTTAATAATTTTTTTTTTTTTTTAAAAATATGAATTTTTGACAACAACAACAACAATAGAGACTGATTGTAAAAGAAATCAGAGATTATAAGGTAAATTAAAGGTTATCCATTAAAAGCATGCCGTCCGAAAATAGTCATGAAAATACAAGATACTGAATGTAGTTTTACGCTCTTTGCCCAGTGTGTTGTGCATGTGAAACAGAGATAACGCCTATAATTGGCTGTTTTGTGCTTGGTTTTGTTGCGTCACGCACCATTTTCACGTTCAGATTCTTGTCACAGGAGTCTTGTCTCATCACGCCTGGTTAGGACACGGTGTATGAGTGCTAATTATGTGTTAATTTATGTGTTAATTTATGGAACCTATCCATCCAAAAAGATAAAACTTAGGCCTATATTTAAGATTTATGTATTTTAATTTCATATAAAATTTCTAATGATTTGGATTACACTGTTTTAACTTAAGCTAATAAACATGTTGTGATGCATATTTGCCAGTTATACATAAATGCAATAAACTGTTTTAAAAGCACAGTAACCAGGTTTATACATTTATCATTGACAAATCATGAATACAGATTTATATGTAAACTAATTACATAAATGTAAACTGAGTCTTGCTTGTCCCACAGCTACCATATTTAAACCATTGTCATGTTTAAAAGTAAAAAAATGAATACATTATTTAATAAATGTAATTCAATTCAAAGGTTTTCACACATAGTTTTCACATAGATTTATGATGATTCTAAGGGATTTTAATAATTTTTTTTTTTTTTGAAAATATGAATATTTGACAACAACAACAACAATAATAATAATAATAATAAACTTTGCCATGATTCATTGTTTGAGGTATGGGTGTAAGAACATTTGGAAGAACGTGGGATAAGGCATGAGAAACATCTGCCAAAATCTATAGGAGGGGCTAATGTTTTCGTCACCTAATAATAATGATTAGCACAGAATGTACAAAATATTTCTATTTAAAATAATTGATTATGAATGATTACCATGATTTTTCATATCCATTCTGTTTTAATAATTGTAATTATTTTTATATAATTGTCTACAGGGCTAAAAAAAAAATAATAATAATAATAAAACATTGCTTTCTGATTAGCCTAACTAGCAATGGACATTCATGCTGGCAAAACAAAACAAAAATAAAATTAGTTTTGTCTGTATTATTGTCCAGTAAATCTAGCTAAATAACCTTAAAATATATTTCTTAAATTACATTTTAATCAATATTTTATTAGAAGTATACTAAATGATTCTGACAGAGTTTTTAGCATGGTTTTACTGTAGCTGGTCTTCAGATTATGGTGAATGATAGTTGTTGGGCACAGAGTGTCTGATAACAACAGGACAGAGACCCACTAAGGTCAAGTGAATTAAGTGAAGGAAAAGGGACAAAACATTGAGAAAAGACACTGCAAGATATATAGGCCTTTTGAAATGTCTGTTCTCCCAACAGGATCTTTTGTGTAAATGCAAAAAAAAAGTGTGTTTTGTTGTTGTGACTGTTAGTTATTTGCTTCCAGACAAATTATGTTTGCATCTCTACCTCAGGTCACCAATTAGCAGGCCATGATTCAGTTCTGTGCTGCAGATTAGTTCCAGTCGAACCACAAATAATTTTTTATGTTCACAAAACACTTAGTGAACATAAAAGAGATGTGCATTGATTGTCATGACAACATTTAACGCAGCTCTTATTTGGCATTTCAAACACAACAAAAGCCACAGATCCGCCTGTGACAATGTGTCTATACCGTCCTGTAACAAACTAGATCACTTCCATTATAATCAATGGAGCTGTCTGCACTATAAGTGGCTGCTTCATTCGACGGATGCCTGGTTTCTATTTTTGTAAGGCTGCATAGCAACTTCAACCACTTTATTTTTCCGGTCTGCCTGGAAATTTGGAAATTGATTGCTTTGAATTTTGCTTTGAAGTTCATCTGTGATTCATTGTCAATAAGACTTGAAAAATATCAGGTCATTTGACCTTTTATGATGACATTTTTTTTTATATCAGGTTGTAGAATGTAGGTTCTAGTTATGTGGTGCGATTCCCACAGAACCTACTGATTATTTGTTAATTAATAACTTAAAACACTGATTACATTGAAAACAATGATTGTACTCACATTTAAGGTGTAAGGAAAATATTTTAATTCAATAAATACTTGGTTACATCACATCTTAGAGGCATTCCATTTAAATGTAGTTGAAAATGGTGTAAACAATTTTTAGAACTACATTAAAGACGAATAATACATTTCTAAGAATTTGCCACATATTTTTCAACTCTTTTTCTCCATCCTGGACACACTTATTTGTCAATGACTCATTGTTTTTTGCCTTGTTTTCCAATTGACTATTGCTGCCAACATAGAAAGTTACAATAAATATTCCTGGAATGCACATTGCTTATTTCATTCAAGATCTAAAACTATGTAAGATTATTTGAACATTGTGAAAGACATTTAGAAACTTTGAACTACTACATGAACAAAGTATCTGTGAGTCTGATGTCTCATTTAGGAATTCATACATTTTAATTTGACAACATTTTATCAATCAACTACCAACTAACTGTTATATTGTAAATTTATTGTACCATTTTTGGGTTATTTGCAGATATTTCACAGATGATGGAGTTCTCCAGATTCTCAATGTGAGCCACAGTGATAAAGGGAAATACACCTGCATTGTTCGAACATCACTAGACCAAGATACAGCTTCTGCATACATAACTGTGTTAGGTACGATTTAAAGTCCTTTTGAGACCAGAATGAATACCAACTAGATTGTGTTATGTTTATGTATTACTTCAATACCACAATAATAGACCTGCTTGGAAAAATATTCAAATAATAGTGTAGCAATCTCTGCAAAAGATTGTACAGAAAACACAAACTATATTGTGTAGACTTTGTGATCATTATTGCTCAGTAATTTCTTTAAGCAATTCTGATTCTCTTTTGAATTGTCTTAAAGGAATAGTTCACACAAAAATGTGAAAACATTGTCATAATTTACTCACCCTCAAGTCGTTCCAAACCCATATAAGTTTCTTTCTTATGTTGAACACAAAATAAGACATTTTGAAGATTTTTAAAGAACCAAACAGTTGTTGGTCCCCATTGACTTCCATAGCAGTGAAAGAAAGAAATACTATGGAAGTCAATGGGGACCATCAACTGTTTGATTACCAGCATTCTTCAAAAAATCTTCTTTCATGTTCAACATAAGAAACTACAGTACAGGTTTGAAATGACATGAGGGTGACTAAATAATGTTAAATGAAAATAGAAATTACATTTTTGTGTGAACTATCCCTTTATAAAGTTATGATATAAGGCTTGTTTAAAGTGTTTGTGTCCTAAATGTGACACAGATGTCCCAGATCCACCGGTTCAACTGACACTCACTGATCTGAAAGACCGCAGTGTGAGGCTCCACTGGACGGCCGCCAGTGATCATAACAGTCCCGTAGCAGGTAAAACTCCTCCTACAAATGTATTGTACTGTCAGGGTTACAGAACAAATGCAAAACGCTTCCATTAGCGTTCCCTTCATATGTAATGGTACCCATTTTCAGTGCTTCTGAAGCTGGCTTTTGCTTTAAGCAGATTCCTCTGAAGTCGTTTTCATGGACGATGTTCGTACTAAAACATTGCTCTACAATATTTCAAGAGGGCTCCCACTGGGGCCAAACCACAGTGTATTGAGAGTGTGCACTTTGCATATTCAATGACCGCTGTGCTCTGTTCCTATGACTAGAGTTCATCATCCAGTACGAAGAGAACCACTGGGAGCCGGAGAAGTGGAAGGAGCTTCTACGAGTCGCAGGCAGCCAGATCTCTGCCCCCTTGACGCTCTACGGCCACATTAACTACCAGTTCAGAGTCATCGCTGTTAATACTATTGGGAAAAGCTGTCCCAGCATGCCCTCCGAAAGATATAAGACACCTCCCTGTGGTAGGGATACCTGTGATCCTTGAAGACTTGCTTTCGTAACATGTTACCATCCAACGTCTAGGGCTGTCCTTGGTTCACCTTGGATTTGTTTGAAGCGTGTCTTTGTGGGGATTTACCCTGAGAAAATTATACAGATGTCTATAAAAGCTCCATAAATTTTAATGCTCTTTTAAGCGATCGCTGTCTCTGACTATCAATGACTGCATGCTCGTTATTATGTGTGATACACATTGGCAGTGTTAGAGGGCAATGGTATTATTGACTGAGACAGATGTTAAATAATTCATATTCACATTTGTACAGCTCCCGACAGGAACCCAGAAAACATTAAGATTGAGGGTCACCTGCCACATCAGATGGACATCAGCTGGGAGGTAATAAACTGCAAACAGCATTGTCAGACAACCTTAATGCATATGCATATACGCATGGCTTAGAAGCAAAAAAGGCAAATACTCTCACGCAAGGAGGCTTGGGAACTAAAAGCTCCTGGAGCTCCTATGAAGTCTGGTATCTTGTAGTTTTAAAGCAGTAACAACTTAATTTGCTCTGGCAGTCAAGTATAAGAGCAAATCTCCTTTCATGAGCCAATTTATGCTCTATTTATGAGTCAAAATTCCTTCAGATTGCAAGTCTGAAAGAAAGCCAAGCGAGGCACCCCAGAAACTAGGTTCCCACGCCAGATTTCGCAAACCCATCAGCAAATGTCTCTCGAACTCTTCCATTCTTTCCAAATGCTCAGTAATGTTTGCAGTGCACTGACCCACTTTTACATTTAATCACCAGCCGCTCTTGCCTGTGGAGCACAACGGTCCCAGTCTGGAATACAAACTGAGCTACAGGCTCATGGGTGTCGAGGACAGTTGGAAAGAACAGATGGTGAAGAGACACTCATTTGTGGTGCGAGACACCCCAACATTTGTCCCTTACGAGGTCAAGATCCAGGCCTTTAACCATCACGGGTGGGCACCAGAGCCCAGAGTGGTGACTGGTTATTCCGGAGAAGACAGTGAGTCAAACAGCATGTTAATGCATTCATCTCACAGTCGTGTGTGACTGCCACGATTTGCCAAAAATAAACACTTAAGATTAGAAGATTAGTTGGGAGAGTGGTTTAATCCACTCTCTACCAGGATCAGCCCTTTCTGCTGAGCTTTTACATTGTGCTTTTAGGGATCAGACACATTCTTTGCCAAGCACTTGTGAGAATAGTTTTTGTTTTATTCCATTTTCATGTTTTTCCATCTCATGCCCTTGTCTCTAGTCGACATTTGGCATTGTCTTGAGGATGATGCAACAGGTTGGGCTGCTTTTGTCCCTGCTATTCCTGCATCACTGTTTGTCCCTGCTATTCTTGCATCACTGTAGATACACAGAAGCATGGTTGCTTTAGCTGTAGGTAGATCTTGACAGTTTTCATGCAGTTGTTGCAAAGAGCAGGGATGCAAACTTGACACTTTTCAGTGATAATTGATGTTTTGAATCCAAAATACTCTCAGAAGAAATGTGCAAAAACTATACCTTTAGGGGTATAACAGTTTGTCACTGGGGCAGTACCCACAAAGGGACAGCTTTGTACCAAAAGGGTGAATATTACCCCCTAAAGGAGTACCTTCTTTACCCCTAAAGGGTGCATACTACTGTAAGGTACTACTACGCAGCCTTTACGGGTAAAGAAGGTACAAAGGTGTCCCTTTGAGGGTACTGGCCCAATTTCAAGCAGTTGTATTCCCAAAGGAACAATTTTAGTTCAATTTCATCCAGTGTAGGTCCTTTGTGTATTTCATGTAAATCCGACAAGTGTTTGAAATTGGGATGAAATGAGAACCACTACTTTTGAGTTGTCAAAAAAGTAAAAGCTAAAAAACTACTGTAGCTTCTGTGCTTAAAAACGCAAATGCTGCCCCACATGAACATCTCTGCAAGTAGTGTGTCGCTTATAACATGCATTTTAAAATGCAACACGTTACAGTCTTCCTAAATTTGCAATTAAAATTATTTATAAATCTGTTTATAAATCAACAAAAAGTTCTCTCTGCGGTTTTCTGTCAAAGCAAAAGCTCTTTGGGTTATTGTTTAAAAGCAAAAAAATTAAGGCATACATAAATTAGCACTGTAATTTTGTATTACAACAACAACAATAATAATAATAATATTAAATACAATTTTTTTTTATTTTTCAATACAGTAGTAATACATGTATTTATTGGTTTAATCTTATTATTATTAATAATAATAATAATAACAATTTAATAATAATAATAATTATCATTATTATTGTATAGTAATATTAAATGGGTTCCATAAAAACAGTGTGAATGTGGCCTAAGACAACTGAAGAAAAAGAGAGTCTAGGTTGAGTTTTTCACTATATCCTATATCCCAATATATCCTTACATCCACATTATAAAGCTAAAGGGGGTTGCATCTTTGTCACTTTTTTTTTTCCAGTGAGTTTGCATCCCTGAAAGAGCCTTTCCCATGTACCCACATATCTCTGTGGATAGCTTCATGTTAGCATGTGCACTTTTCCTGGAAACAGTCAGTGTGTCATTTAATTACAGTCCATTTTTTTCCTCGGTGGCTCTAGTTGCTTGATGAAATGGTTGTGTGTGTGTGTGTGTGTATTTGTGAGCTGTTACCCTCTTGCATCAGTTGGGAAAGTTTAGCCTCAAACAGATCTGCATTCTGTTGGCCTTTCCAGTGCCCTTGGCGGCTCCTGAAGACGTATCTGTGGAGGTGTTGAACTGTACGATGCTGAGGGTCAGCTGGTCACCGGTGCCCCAATCTGCCTTGAGGGGCCATCTTGGAGGATACACTGTGAGTTCCCAACCCCTCCAGTTCAAAGGTCCTGTGGTTCTGGACAAAAGCTGATGGTCATTCAGCAACAAACAAGCTGTTTGTAGCATTTAATAGACTCCACTGTGTGTTTCCTTATTGCCCTTTTTCTCTCTCTGCCTCTATTTTCACTCTTGGTTTCTTTTCCATAAATATATACAGTATATCTTCTCATCAACATCCTATTTCTCTTCCTTCCGTCTCTTGCTCCCAGGTGCACTGGTGGCAAACTCAAAGTCTGTTGACCTCTAAGAGAATTCCCTCAGAGAGACAGTCTCTCACCATGCCTGGAAACAGGAGTCACACCATGGTGCCGGGACTGAAGCCATTCTCTGAATATAGCCTGACTGTCAACGTCTTTAACCGGAGAGGGAATGGACCCAGCAGCAGTCCCATCTCTTTCACAACTCCACAGGGAGGCAAGAATGCTTTGACAGTATACACGTTTTGAAATTCAGTGGTTTGGGCATTTGCTAAGTTCTTGTGTAGATTCAGTTGAATTTTACACAGTTTGTTGTTCACCCAGATGTACTGCTGAACATAAAACTAATTTAGAAAGAGGTGTGAAAAGAATGACATTGACTTAATTGAAATACAATGCAATGCTATTTCAGCAGTTGAACTAAGGTTATTGTAGGTGGTTATTAAATTAAGACTGTTTTTTTTTTGCACTGAAATACAGCGCCAAACAGTTTTTCCTAATTTAAGGTACATACTGACCAGTAGCGCTTGACATCTTCCCACAGTTCCTGAGCAACCTCCCATCCTCAAAGCCACAAACTTTCAGAAAGACTCCATCACGCTGGTGTGGGCACCTCCGCATGAAACCAACGGCTTTCTCACGGGATACTTGCTGCAATATCAGACAGGTATGACTCTCACAGATTTATCTCATGTTACATCATCTGTCTCAGTGAATTTTATATAATCAGTGTTTAACTATACTATATTCTGCTGTATATATTTCAAGTTTGGGGTCAATAACATTGTTTATGTTTTTATATATGTTTTTATGTTTTTTAAAAGAGTTTTATGTTCACCAAGGCTGCATTTATATATATAAAAAAATACAGTCAAAAACAGCAATATTGTGCAAAAATACTACAATTTAAAATAACTGTTTTCTATTATAATATATTTTAAAATGTTTTTTTTTTCCTGTGATGGCAAAGCTGAATTTTCAGCATCATTACTCCAGTCTTCAGTGTCATATGATCTTTCAGAAATCATTCTAATATGCTGATTTGTTGATTTCTAACTATAATCACAGGTAAAAAAAAAAAAGTTATGCTGCTTAAAGAACGTGGAAACGTACTACAGTGTCTTTATTTAGATTTCCTTGATGAGCATAAAGTTTGAAGAACATTGTTTCAAGCATGAAAATGCTTTCTTGAATCTCGACTTAACATCATTTTATTGATAAGGATAGGGAGTACGTAGGTTTTTGTTTTCACTAGATATGATAGTAAATCCATCATTTTTAATTACGTAAAGTATAGGAAGAACCCCATGACAGATCTAGACAAGTGGTGCTGGGGAGGAGGAAGGTTAAAGAAAATTATCATCATGCTGAACGGTAATATATAAAGTCGGGTAGACAGAAAATAGAGATCGACTGGCAGATTGTGCCAGTCAGCTACTCAGAAGAATTCCTTGACTGTGCGTATATGCATTTATTTGAAATAGAAATCATTCTGTCATTTTTGAATAAAAGTATCACTTTCTTTAAAAACTTCTTACTGACCCCACACTTTTGAAGGTTTTAAATATTTTAAAACTCAATAATTTTCTTGTTTTTCTTGTAGTTAATGAGACTCTGGGTGAGCTGAAATATGTGAACATCAGTGCATCAGATACAACACAGTGGGTCTTGCGTGATCTGCAGGAGGACAACTGGTATACGTTCTACCTGAGTGCGTGCACGCAGGTGGGCTGCGGGTCAGCCATCAGTGAGGAAGGAGGCACCGTCTCTGAGGCGTGTAAGTGTGCCCGGCAGCAACTATAAGCAGAGTCCCATGAGCTATAATGGATCTGGTATCAGAATCTAAATTGAAGTGCCCATGCTGAGACACAAACATCTGATACAAGCAAAGTTAGTTGTGTTCTAATTAGCACAGCCGCAAGGTGTTCGAAAGTGATTAAGCAGCAGTTACAGAACTCTAAGTTGCGGTTGGCAAGATCTTGTTGCATAAAGGAGAATGATTAGATTATTGCTAAAATGCAAAACTCACAGTGATCTGACAAACAAAAGGGTGTAATGACCAATACATTGACCAATCAATGAGGTGCCTCAGTAAAAACAATTGCCTACTGATGTGTTTTTACTTACTGGATAACTGATTTTGCATCATCGTCACAGTTTTTCTCTAGGCCACAATTTTGTTACGAATTGCCTATTTCTTTCTGTTATGCTCATATTCTCATTCTCCATGGGTTTGTTTAAACTGATCTGTCTTCTTATCAACCAACTTCTGTTTCTCATGAACTAGTTACAACGCCCGAACATTCATTTCCTGACGTTTCTACAGTCTCAGCTGAAACTTCGACAGAGAGTTGTATGCATCACATACTGTAGTTTATAGCATTTTGCAGCTTACATAGTAGTAGTTTCTATTTGGAAAATGTAACATTTTGAAGCATTTCAAATGCCTTCTGTCGTTTTCAGTCAGATAAATGCAATTTAAAGCTAGTTTATCAGTAAAATATGTCAACTTATGGACATAAAACCTGAAGTGATTTATCTTATTATTATATTTGTTTTATTGTTATGTCTCTACTGTCTTTTTAAGATGATCTGTCAACATCTGAGGTGACATCTTCTGAGTTGAGTATGTACCAGCAGATTTGTAGCTATTTCTGTAAACTAAAAAATTAATTAGTATATTAACTCCTACATTACTGTCTACAATAACTCCAGATGAAGTCATTAGTTACATAAACTCATAATGGCATGGGAAAACATTTAGGTCTTAACATTAGTCATACTAGTAATAGTGCCAGTAGTTGTAGCATTAATTTTAGTCACATAAATAGCATCAGTTATCATTGTTGAACATAACTCTATGTTCAGTGAAGTTGATTATTGTGTACATTCTGCAAAATGAGCGTAGTCTTCCATCAAAAATCCACATAGTGACAGCTGGTTCAAGTTTACTTCAGCTTGATTGCTGCTGGCATTTGCTTTTGTCTTTTAAGAGCTCCTCTGTGAGGCAGTAGTACTGTCCCTGAACCCCTGCTAAAGACAGCAAATACATGCTGTCTTTATCAGGGTTGACAAAACCAGTCTCGCTGCTGACAGGAACACATCACTCAACGGTGTTCATTTTGTAAAGACCAGCTGTATACTCGTAGTACAAATGCAAAAAAAAAAAAAAAACATTTAGTAACTGTCAAACCTTGACAGTACTTTTCCCTTGTTAGGCCCATTTATTTTGCTGTCCCACCAATGATTAGTTGCATTTTAGTATTTGCATTTAACATTGCTTTTTCCCCTGCTGTCCATGACCCTATCAGACACATGGGTCATTTTTGAGTCCCACTGGTTGATACAAACTGATATAAACTATTAAAATAGTTCCTATCCATGTTTATTTGACACTATAAATAATGATTTCATGATATGCAAAAAAAAAAATTCTGGACAGTCTGGACAAGGACATTAAAATTTCCCACTGCTGCAGTCAATTCTACAGGGAAATGAATGTGGTCTGAACTCTCTCTCTCTCTCTTGCAGGGCAACCTTTCACTTTCACCTCATCTAATACAGACACTCCTTCTGTCAATACCACCTTTCATACCTTAGGTATTCATCCATTCATCTACCTAAACAATCATTTTCATAACTCCATACTTAAGTGAAATGGACATTTAGAGTCAACATGAAAACTTGACTTACGATTTTGTCTAAAATAAATATCCTCTTTCACTCTGAAATGTTACAGAAGAGCTGGTTCATGTTGACTTTAACAATGTTTTCATTCAGATTTCTATATCACTGTATTATTTCTGTAACACATCCCTGTGGTTACGGGTGGACTTGAATTCTTTTGCAGGAACTAACCTTTCGAGAGTCTTTCCTGTCTTTTTGTTCTATATCTTCTCTATGTATTTCTCTCAGTTGTGCTCAACATATCCACCTTTGTAACTGACACCTTTGCAAGAATCAGCTGGAGAACCAGAGGAGAACATTCTGATTCACAACTCTATGTTGCCATAATGAATCACAGTAAGGAGCTTACTCTTTGAACTGATCTGTCAGGATCCAATGTTTGCAGCATTGTGTAGATTGTAGACATATTTGTAGCGTAGTTTGGAAAGTATCATTGCGGGCTGCAACTAAAAACTATTTGAACTATTTTAAATCGATTAATCTGATGATTTCTTACATTAATTGGCTTTTCAACATTTTGATCAATGTGCACATTTAAATATGTATAATGTACTGTATATATTGTATGCAAACATGTAAATATAAAGGTTACGATATATATTTAATATAAACAGTTTATATTACCAAAACAAAATTTTTCCGTAATGTTCAATTAATTATTTGAAATAAATTTAAGATTGTATTAATGAATTGTGGTTAAAATAGCTGTGTGTTGTAGAAACATACACTGTAAGGAAAAATCTGTAGAAAATGCATAATGACCTAGCAGAAATGTATCAGTACCTTTTCCGTTGAGTTTAAAACAATACAATGAAATGCATAATTAAAAATATGTGTACAATACCTGTGTACAGTTAATACAGAAAATCCCTAACAATTTGCTATTTAAGAACTAAAAGAGTTCACTCAGCAGTATCAAAATCTGCGGTTTGACTGCAGACCTTACTTTACTCATGATTCATGAATAAAAACAGCCATTCTGTTCTACACTCTTAAAAGTAAAGGTTCTTTATTGGCATCAATGGTTCTATGAAGACCCTTGAACATCCATGGAACCTTTCAAATGCATAAAAGGTTCTTTATAGTCGAAAAAGGTTAATTAGATTTTTAAAATATTCTTCAAAATAGTTATTTTAGGAACTGTTCACTGAAAGGTTCTTTTGGGAACCAGAAATGGTTCTTCTATGGCATCACTGCAAAAACACCCTTTTGGAACTTTTATTTTTGACAGTGTACAGAAAATAATGAGGGCTAATTCCCAAACATTTTAGGGCTACAAATTGAACATGTCTATTTAAAAACTGAATTTGATGTCCAACAACAACAATTTAATTACTCATTCTTCCTCTATTACGCTCTGTTTGACTGACATACATACTGGTGCTTACATGAAGAATTTAAAGTTTAACGATGACAGTGACATTTAATTGCTCACTTCCTAGCAAATGAACAAGGAAATTAACACATTAAAAATATAAAATTAGAGTAACATTCTAGCTAAAAACCTCTAAAACTCGCAAAACAGCCCAACATTCAGACCAACTGATAATGAAATTCATTCTCTGCTATTTTTATTGTGGATCTTTATTTGCAGCCCTTTTATCAATCTTACTCTGTCAACTTTTCTAACCTTTCAGAATGTTGCTTTTCACTATCATAGATATCTCCTCTTTCTGCTGGGTTGTGAGCTAACACTATCTGGTTATGCGGTTATTCCTTCAGGTGATGGTATCTGGCAGCTTTCAGAGGCTTTAAATACATCTAAAGGTTTCCACCTCGTTGAAGGGCTCAGCCCAGGAACTGTGTACACAGTCCGGCTGCAGGCTTCACACAGGGTTGATGTCCCTAGCATTTTTGAAGAGGTTTTAAAGACCAGGAAAGGTGAGAAGTCAGAGAATTTAGCCTTTAGGACGGCATTAGAGGTATCACTGACATAGTATAATATGGGATAGTCTTTCTGTGGGTGCATTAGCACTAGGGGTATATAAAAAAAGGTCTCCCATTCCATTGAGCAAGCAGTTTTTTTTAAATATTATACTTCACAATTATAGGTTTATAGAATGTGCTGTAAGAAATAAAGCTGTGAAATACAGGGGGGAAAACAGCAGCTGTGGTTGCCAGAATTTTACCTCCAAAAATAGTCGCAACAGTACATCATGATAACAAAAACTGAATATTTTGATCACTGATATAATGTTAACGGGATAGTTCACTGGAGATCAAAATTCTGTCATTAACTACTCACCCTCATGTCGTTCCAAACCCGTAAGACCTTTGTTCATCTTCGGAACACAAATTTAAATATTTTTGATGAAATCCGAGAGCTTTCTGACCCTGCATAGACAGCAGTACAACTGACATGACACGAAGACTGACACGGAAGAGAAGAAACTGTTGAATAAAGTCGATATTTTAGTTTTCTTTGTGCACAAAAAGTATTCCTGTAGCTTCATAACATTACGGTTGAACCACTGATGTCACATGGACTATTTTGACAATGTCCTTTCTACCTTTCTGGGCCTTGAACATGGTAGTTGTGTTGCTGTCTAGTAAGGGTTAGAAAGCTCTCGGATTTCATAAAATATCTTAGTTTCTGTTCAGAAGATGAACAACGGTGTTACGAGGTTAGAACGAGATGAGGGTGAGTAATTAATCTGTAATCAGTAATCTGGAGATGCAAACAGGTCTATCTGAGCAAATCATGAACAAGATGGGCGAGTGCTGCTGCGGGCGGGCAGACACTCGTATGTGTGCGCGGGATGCGGGAGAATAAACTGATTCACGGGACTACCACAAAATAGAAATATCTAAACATAAAATATCTAAAACAAATAAATTGTTATTCATCTATTGCACAAAAGCAACATGAACTAATATAAACGATTAACAGGTGCAAGCGTATGCAGAGTTTCTATTCAGGCTATAACAAGTGTTGAGCAATGCAGTGCTGAAATTTGCGTGCTCACGAATCCTCTCATTATAATACACAAATTGTAGACATTATGAAAGATTCATTATGCATATATTTATTGTGTTACAGAGATTTGTGAGATTGCGATGAACTGGGATGTATTTTAGAAATTATAAATGCAGCGCTCTTTGCTGGCATTCTGCCATGGCAAACCATGCACGCAGCAGCCACTGCTTTAGTTAAAAATAACAGTGTTCTGTGAATTTTGATGCTTTAATAACAAATATTTATCGGAAGCGTGTATGCTGGGATTTCATAAATTTGATGGAGAAAAAAGTAACATAACTAGTAATGTAACTAATTACTAATTACTTTTGAAATAAAATAATCAGAACAGTAACGTGATTACTTTTAAAAGGAGTAATTAGCAATCAGTCATTTGATTACATTTTCAGAGTAACTTGCCCAACACTGATCGCTGCAAACCAGTCTTGGGGACGGATACACTCGAAAATGCATTTCTGCATCAACATTTTGAACGGCAGCTTGTGAAGTGCGCGATTCAAAACTCGCAGGTCCAAGATTGGTCGTAACCCACCACTACAATGAAGTAAGGGCTGTAAAACCCCGTCTGCAGGAGCCACCAAGATGGACTGGGGAGCGCTAACCGGGCTCAGAGAGGCCGTGCCAGTGGAACCAACGGAGCCACCGACATACCCGTGGTGGGGCAGCGTGGTGGAACACATGGACTGGGTGTAAAGTGTAACACTCACCTGATCCCTCCTCGTGAGAGGGGGAACGCAGGGTCCCGGCTTGAGGCTTGTAATATCCTGGCGTGTGACGGCATGAAGCGGGGTCTTGAGTGTCACAGCACCTACCTGGTTCCACGAATGGGCAGAGGAAGTGCTCTTGGGCAACCCACTGCTGCCCGCTGGCGAAAGAGGAGGAGGGAAGTGATCCTGTGATGCACAGTCCACCACTCTCCTCCTTTTGCGACCCAGAAACTGAGTAAACGGCTCTTTTCCTGAAGTTTTGGGTACTGCTGGCTGCTGGACCAGCGGCGGAACACAAACAAAACAAAACAAAATATTCTCCACCCAGCCCTCCTCTGGGGAAGGGAGTGGTGCAGTCACAATCTCTGGATGAGCAGTCCCCTCCATCTCTGGGTCGTCCATCTCAGGGCCTCTTGCACTTGCACTTGCCACCAGGTTTGGCGGGGGCCTGGACGGGCTGGGTGTCCTGCCTATGCCCAGCTCCACGACACTGCCTGGTGGAAGGCCGCTGCTGCTGCGTGGGAGCGGGGCGGACTCAGGGGGGTGCCCTCGGCGACGAGCAGGCTTAGGGGCTGCGGCTGGAGTGGAAGCAGCAGGTTTCCTCAAGCGCATGATGTGCTTGATCGCCTCAGTCTGCTTCTGCGCCGCTGAGAACTGCTGGGCGAAGCTCTCGACCACGTCGCCGAAAAGGCCGGTCTGTGATACGGGAGCATTCTGGAATTGCACCTTATCATGCTCCTTCATATTGGCCAGACACAGCCAGAGATGGCGCTCCTGGACAACCAAGGTGGACATCGCACGACCCAGAGACTGTGCAGTTACCTTTGTCACTCGGAGCGCGATGTCTGTCACAGTACGCAGTTCATGTAAAACCGTTAGGTCATGACCACCCTCGTGCAGGTCCCTCAGGGATTGGACTGATGAACCTGCAATAACGCCTCCCCACAAGCTCTGTAAGCACTGCCAGTTAGACCTGACGAATACTTACAGGCCCGCAAGGGGAGACACGGGTCACCCTGCAGAGTGGTAGTGGCCGTGGGACACAGTTGTATGGCCACAGACCGCTCCAATGAGGGAATGCCCGTTTATCCCAAAGCGGCCCCGCCATCAAGGGTGGTGAGGGAGGAGGAGCTGCATGATTTGTTTCTGGCAGTAAAAGGTGCCTTCCACGATCTCGTGAGGTCCTCAGACACTTCCGGGAAGAATGGCACCGGAGGGGGGTGCTGAGAACTAGCACGACCCCCACCGATGAACCACTCATCCAGCCTCGAAGGACCAGGAGGTGGAGGAGTCCACACGAGCCCAACATTCTCAATATCCCGGGAAAGCATAGCCGTCATCTCTGGGTCTGACTCGGGCAACGCCACTCTCCCCGAAGCACCGAAGGATACGGGCAGTACACTCTGTCCTGCAGAGGGCCCAGCGTGCACCTCCGGAAGCTCCACCAGCTGCGGAGCACTTAAGGGGTGAGGAACTTCTTCAGGAGAAGCCCTCACGGTGATCCACAAATCACCTCTGACACCATCCGAAGCAACTACGCTCCGAACGAACGCTGGATCACGGCAGAGGCAGAGGGACTCCACCACGTTTGACGTAGCAGAGTCTTTTATGCAACTCCGAGATGTCCCCACACAGTGAACAGGTACCATCCACGAACACTTCCTCAGCGTGCTTAATGCCCAGACACGTGAGGCAGCGATCGTGACCATCCTAAGTTGCCAGGTAACAACCTCATCCAGAAGCACACGGGTGATAAAACATCTTTAAAAAGACGCGATCACCCGTGTTGCTCTTTTAGTGCTGAAACACGCAGGGGAGCTGGCCACCACACACTCCTGGTGTAGCTGTCTGCACGCAGGATGATTCCCATGAGACCGTGACCACTGCTGCTGTCTGCTGTAACGCCCACACTCGCTTTCTGCAATCACTCGAAGAGAAGAGCAGTAGTGATGCACCACCGCTCGGCTCTGAACTGAAAAGATGAATAAATGCGGTGCACCTGCTGCTTCTTATACCCGCGCTGTGGTGTGTGGCAGCCAGATGCGAATTCCGCATGCCAATGTCCATTGGCACATTTAGTTACACTCGAAGTGGATTGGTCTCTCTGGCGAGATCCCAATTCGTCGGTCACCGACGTGATGTCGAGAGTGACCAACTGAAAGGGAACAGCTTGTTACCTGCAACTTTCTGATATCAAACAGACAGACAGACCTTTGGACATAACGGCCAACATCTACACGACAACAATGCCTACTCTATATTTGACAGAAACTTGGCCCATCTATTCAGTGCGAGGTAATCCAGAGGAAGTAGGGTAGATGACACACTCGCTTTCTGCAATCACTCGAAGAGAAGAGCAGTAGTGATGCACCACCGCTCGGCTCTGAACTGAAAAGATGAATAAATGCGGTGCACCTGCTGCTTCTTATACCCGCGCTGTGGTGTGTGGCAGCCAGATGCGAATTCCGCATGCCAATGTCCATTGGCACATTTAGTTACACTCGAAGTGGATTGGTCTCTCTGGCGAGATCCCAATTCGTCGGTCACCGACGTGATGTCGAGAGTGACCAACTGAAAGGGAACGGCTTGCAACGAACCTGCAACTTTCTGATATCAAACAGACAGACAGACCTTTGGACATAACGGCCAACATCTACACGACAACAATGCCTACTCTATATTTGACAGAAACTTGGCCCATCTATTCAGTGCGAGGTAATACAGAGGAAGTAGGGTAGATGATGTTATTCATAAACACCAGAAGAACTAATGAAAATGCCACTGAATTATGTATGACTGCTAGATGTAGCACCTACAGCTCTGCATATGCTTCCGACGGACAAGTGACTGAAATTTATTTGCAACTGGGTTCCTGATCATTTAATTTTGTCAGCAAACCCATAGCCTCAGAAGAGCCATTTATGCCAGAGAACTGGTGGCAAATGTGTTCAATTCATCAAATGTCAAGAAGTGAACTATTTTTGCTACAAGGAGTACACTTCAAGTAATTAAAATGTTTATGGTCCATTTAAATACTCTTTGTGTTCTAATTGTTCTCATTTGACAAACCAGGTCAGAATTTGGCACAGGAACCATATTTAAAAACGCCATTTGAAATGTGTTCTTCTAACCCAAAAATACTGTTTTATTTTCCCATATTTTCAAGTTGACTACATTAATTAAATTTTTCCAAAAACAAACTCTCTCTTGTCCTTGCAGTGCCTAGTAAACAACTCATGGCATCCCAGGAGTGGTTTGTGGTGATGATGTGTGCGGTGGCATTACTAACTCTGCTTGTCCTCATCGGCTGTTTTGTGCTCAAGAACAAAGGCGGCAAGTACGCAGGTAAGACACAAACAGCTTCAGAGGTCACACAGACCTCTGTCCAAGCTCACAGTTCTCTGCAGTCAAAGCATTTACACCTTAGCTTGGTGCTTTTGTTAGCTTTGTGTTGTGTGGCTCTGTCGCACTAACCCATAGACTTATTACTAGCAGTGTCAGACGGATAACCTGAGATCAGTGAGCTTTATTGGCCTGTCCTCACCTGCTCCTACTGGTCTCCCTTTGCTCTTCACATGTATATTTAACCAATATGAAATGCTTTTAATGGATTCAAGAACAAATTATGTCCTGACTGGATTATTGCAACAGACACTTGCATGCATTAAAATGCATAAGAAGCCTTATGGAGCTTATGGAATAAATCTTAAGGCATTATTAGACCATTTTAAACACTTTGTTCTTACATCACTGTGGCTGTTTACATATAGGTTATTTATAACTTACCAAGCTGAAAAGAATTAATGTTTTCTCCAGTAAGACCATGTCTTACTAGCACACAGTAGTTTATCTAAAAGGCAGTCAGTGTCCTTGATGTGCTTCCACAAAGCAAAATAGAAAATATTCTCCCAAATTTGGAGAATATGATGAATTGAATGTTTGCTCAGCAATTGCAAAACAAGTGGATAACATATTATCTCTTATGAATAACAATGTCATTTTTTAAATGATATCAAGGCAAGAAATTTCAAAAGCAACTGAGAAAATGATACACAACGCACTCTCCTTGAATGTTGTAATTTCACTGCAGTCAAATCTCCCAGAATAGTATAATGATATTTTATGATAAATAACATCTTTGCATTTTTTTCTTTACAGTGAAAGAAAAGGAGGAAACTCCTGCTGATCCCGAAGCTCACGCCATGGGTGAAGAATCTCCTTGCGAGTACAGGTCAGAGAGCCACACTAGTTCTGTTATAGATAGTGACACAAGTTCTTCATCTCACTGAGTTCCTGTAAAATCATTTCTTAATGCCTTTATCTCATGCAAATAAACACCTACATGTACGCCATTTACTTGAAACCACATGGAAAGCATTGCTCTGCAAGCTTGAACTGACTCTGTGCTCACTAGCCACCACACAGGCAGTAAACAGCAGCTTTGTTTAGCACAAAAGTTAGATTTTTAGTGTAGCAGTGTATGTTGATAGTTGTTATATTGTGTTTAGCCATGTAGTACAAATGTAAAAGAGTTCCTCAGTCATAGAAATACCTGAAAATATCTGGCAGTTTTCAAAAGTAAACATTTAAGTTGTTTTTCCAGGCCTGGAAATGTTATGGAAGTAAATACAAAAGTCAAGGCAAATTAATGAAACGGTCTAATGAATATGTAAATATGTTTTTCTTCATGGACTAGATCAATTTAAATATTACATATGCAAAATTTTGCTCTTTGAGAGTTTTTAAGTCAGAGTCTGTTGATTTGCTAATTGCTATTATTTTAAAAGATTCGTATCTGACATACAAATGGAAATCTGTTGATATATTTAAAAAATTGAGCCAGTATTTTTTTTATAAAGAAATAAATACTTTGATTTAGCAAGGACACATTAAATTGCTCAAAAGTGACAAGACTTGCTTTATTAGAAAAAAAAATCAGTTTCAAATAAATTTTGTTCTTTTGATCTTTTATTCATCAAATAAGCCTGATTAAAAAATTATCAGTTTCCACAAAAATATTAAACTGCACAGTATTTTCAATTAAATAAGCCTTGGTGAGCATAAGAGACTTCTTTCTTATATATTCTTATAGTGTTGGGGAAAGTTACTTTTAAAAGTAATTGCATTACAATATTGCGTTACTCCCTAACACTGCTTATATATATATATATATATGTTTGTAGTTAATGTTGAAAAACAACAACAACCAATCATGGCCCTGAAGTTGTTAGAGAAATGGGGCTGTGTGCAGTTAACTTGTATTCTTGCATACGGAGTAGCTCGAATCCATAAATGTGTTTCCATCTCATTACACTTAGACACAGAGATGCCCGTTTTATTCCTCCCTCAGGAAAGAAATGCAGCTTCAGCAGAGGCTCTGTACGCTACCCTTGTTTGGGGAGTTACAGCACCAGACACTCAAACATCTGCTAACTGAAGAAACCAGATAGGGAAGTGCGTCCCGTACCAGCTGTGGAGTATGACGGTAGCCTCAGAGGCTTTCAAAACTGCTTTACTCTGGCTTACACAAGGAGGCTACTGATTTATTACACTTTTGGGAATAGAAGAGCGGGTTTATCGTGTTACACCATTGGTGATATTCATTTGATGCACTGAAATATGATATAGTGCATTGAATTCTAGGATCCTAAGATATTAGAGATATTACAGGATGACTGATAAAGGATTTTGCAAATACTGATAACTAAACTGAGGAAAGTCCGAGATTAGTCCGTCAGTCAGTTACTGAAACACTTCTTTACACAGTTCTTTCATCAATATTACATAAAAAAAGTCAACTAAATATTATTTTAAATAATTTAAATAGCATTTATGTAGGGTAAGGGTAAGGTTTTTGGCCCATCCCTCACTATGATTTTTCTTTTTCAGCAGGACTTTTAATTTACAAAACGAAGGCAAAATTATATAAAAATCACATTTGCATATTGTTTTAAATATATAGTCGTTACTTTACTAGTTACTTGAAAAAAGTTATCTGATTACGTAACTTGTTATCCCCAACACTGCTTATATATATATATATATATGTTTGTAGTTAATGTTGAAAAACAACAACAACCAATCATGGCCCTGAAGTTGTTAGAGAAATGGGGCTGTGTGCAGTTAACTTGTATTCTTGCATACGGAGTAGCTCGAATCCATAAATGTGTTTCCATCTCATTACACTTAGACACAGAGATGCCCGTTTTATTCCTCCCTCAGGAAAGAAATGCAGCTTCAGCAGAGGCTCTGTACGCTACCCTTGTTTGGGGAGTTACAGCACCAGACACTCAAACATCTGCTAACTGAAGAAACCAGATAGGGAAGTGCGTCCCGTACCAGCTGTGGAGTATGACGGTAGCCTCAGAGGCTTTCAAAACTGCTTTACTCTGGCTTACACAAGGAGGCTACTGATTTATTACACTTTTGGGAATAGAAGAGCGGGTTTATCGTGTTACACCATTGGTGATATTCATTTGATGCACTGAAATATGATATAGTGCATTGAATTCTAGGATCCTAAGATATTAGAGATATTACAGGATGACTGATAAAGGATTTTGCAAATACTGATAACTAAACTGAGGAAAGAAATTGAGATTAGTCCGTCAGTCAGTTACTGAAACACTTCTTTACACAGTTCTTTCATCAATATTACATAAAAAAAGTCAACTAAATATTATTTTAAATAATTTAAATAGCATTTATATAGGGTAAGGGTAAGGTTTTTGGCCCATCCCTCACTATGATTTTTCTTTTTCAGCAGGACTTTTAATTTACAAAACGAAGGCAAAATTATATAAAAATAACATTTGCATATTGTTTTAAATATATAGTCTAATTGTTAAACAATGTTTTTGGCACAGGTATGCATTTTTTCTATAAAATTTAAATATTTTTATTGGTGTCCCTTGATTTCATGTTACCCTCATCAAAAAACCTTTGTAAAATAATGTAAATTCAAGTGATAGGAGGTTACATCATCTCTCAACTAGGATGCCTACACTTAAAACACAAGCACATTTCTCTCTCACTTCTATAATGTTCTATTTTTGATCATTTATGAGGCTTGGGTGGGGGGATTGCATCGTGCTGTGTCAATACTGTTACCATTTTTAAAATGTAAATTTAAACAATTATTTATTACATTTAATATAGTCAATATCTACAATTAAAATCCTTTCAAAGTGTACAACATGTGCTTTTGTGAACTTGACTATTAGTTAGAAATTAGCAAATTAGTTTGAAATTGTCACACCTGTTCCTGTCATCCCTGTTACTTTTCAGGATAACAGGTTTTGACATTTGGGTAACAGGGATGACCTAGATTATGTGTCACCCTGTTTTTAAAGATTGTCTGTGTAAAATGCAAACGTTTTTAAAGGTAACCCTGGGTGTTATTTTAATTTTAAGCTAATAGCTATATCATTCAGTGGCATATAAGCATGAGTTACATTTTAGTTTGCATTATTGGTACTGTTACTATTACTGTTGTTGGTAATGACCAGGATAGGATGATCAGTCTCAATAAAACTCTTCTTTTTTTTCTCCATAACTCATTGTCAATAATGCATCCATGTAAATTCAATTACAACAAGAGCAGCAAGGGGACTGCAGACCTTCACCCCAGTCTTGCAATGTTCAAGAAAGTCATGATCTTGGTCTGGTTTCAGATGATCACAGAAAGACCGAGATCTGATCATCTTCCTTGCTTAATAATTTAACCAGATCAGAATATGTTAAGTTCTGTGAGGGGACACAGACAAACAGATGGACGCATTATCTCATTACAATACCCTTAAAACTGTAGATCTCTTAAAAATGTAATATGCTAAATCAACAATGAACTGACTTTAACTGAAAATTTGACTGTTTACTATTGTCATACAACTATGCTAAGTAAGTGCAAAACAATATAACGCAATTTAAAATTGTAAAACTGTACAGTACTATGTAAACATATATGTGCAGTGTGCTGAATAATGTGTGTCCTGTCATCCCTGTTCTGGTCAGTCCTGTGACAGTCCTATGATGTCAACCCAGTTACTGTCATTAATTTCATAAAAATTGTACTAATTATATTAATTTGATACAGCCTTCCAGGTTTTCCCATTGTAACTTTAACTATATTTTATTTTGCATAAAGGCATTTTTTTAATGTCTCTCTTGTAAAAAAATATATGTATATATATTCTTAATTGACATGTGGTCACCCTCCAAAATTAGGATGTTCTTGGTCATCTAAATAACAAATATAAAAAAATTCAAAATTTGAAACAATCCCAGTGAAAAGAGGACTAAAATGCTGCTCATATATGTGAGAACTATCACATAGTTCTAATTAAACGATAGTATCTAGTAACGCTTCTGTCGGTAACAGGGTTGACAGAAATACAAAAACATGAGGAAGAAAAATAGTCATAAAATAATAAATAACATAGCCTGAGATGGCACAATACAATTTATTGTCATTTTAAGGTGTCTTCATTTCATGGATATTTTAAAAAAAAAATATATATATATATATATATTTCCAAGTGGAAAAGGCACAGATTTCATGGAATGACCCATTTACTGTCACTTTTGATCATTTTAATGCATCCTTGCTGAATGCAAGTAATATACAAATAAATACATATTGATGACCCCAAACGTTTGAATAGTACTGTAACTGTATCATGGTTTTCACAAAAATATTAAGCAGTTTTCAACATTAATAATAATAAGAAATGTTTCTTGAGCAGCAAATCAGCATATTATGAGAAACATTTTTGAAGGAAATATATATTATTTTACTTATTTTAAATGGGAATTATTTTAAAATGAGCTATTTTAAATTGTAGTAATATTTCACAATATTATTATTTTTGCTGTATTTTTGATCAAATAAATGCAGCCTTGGTGAGCATAAGAGATATTGGTAACACTTTACAATAAGGTTCCATTAGTTAATGTTAGTTAATGTATTAACTAACATGAACAAACAATGACAAATACATTTATTACAGTATTTATTAATCTTTGTTAATGTTAGTTAATGAAATACAGTTGTTCATAGTTAGTTCATGTTAATTCACAGCGCATTAACTAATGTTAACAAGCACAACCTTTGATTTTAATAATGCAGTAGTAACTGTTGAAATTAACATGAACTAAGATTAATAAATGTTGTAGAAGTATTGTTCATGCTTAGTTCATGTTAACTAAAGTAGTTAACTAATGGTAACTAATTAACCTTATTGTAAAGTGTTACCGAGATATTTAATGGCAACAGGCTCTGCTAAAATTATTTTAGTTTTTATCTGCACCAATTAATCGGCAAAAGCATCTAATTTCTACATGTTTTTAACTAAATATTTTGGAGAGATGATGCAATACATTCCCTACTGTGAATTGTTCTCCTGTGGTCAGCAGGACTATTATTTCCTAAATTAAAAGAGGACAAATGTCAGTTTATCCTAATAAATGTTCTGTCTGGATTTACTTTATCGCTATCCGAGATGTTGTGGCATCTCATAGTAACAAGGAGCTTACGAGGTGACCCCCCTGTCTCCTTACAGACACCTGCTTGCTGGCAGTGTGCCTGCTCTCAAATTGGCAGCTAATTTTGGTTTGTCCCATCATTCCTTAGGGACTAAAGTAACCTGACAGGCTGTTTGTCTACAGGCACACAAAGCGTCTCTTAAGTCAGTCCTCTCATTGGCTGGCATGACCTGCACTCTGCAATTTTCTCCCTCTCTCTAGTTTTGAGAATTGCTATCAGGCCTTGAAGTCTTTGCAATTAGTAATTATCAGAAAGCAGTGATTGCATCCTTCCCTTGCACCCTTCTTCACCCGCTCTGTCTGCCAGCCTCGACTAGTATCATCATCACTCAGTCACTCTGAGCTGAATTTGACTAATTTTTTTTGCTGTTTGACAGTGACAATGATGAGAAGCCGCTGAAGAGCAGCCATCAGTTGTTCACAGACATCAAAGCAGATGATAGCAGCGAGGACAGCTCTGTGATGTCGGACGATGACGACTGCGAGTTCAACGAAGATGGGTCGTTCATCGGCGAGTACTCGGGGTACAAGCGTAGGGTGTCCACAGAAGTGAACGGACACACCCCGGTGACTTCTTAATGCTGGTTCAACCTTAGGAACTTTTAAACTATTTTACAGGGAGAACGAGAAGTTTGTTTGTAAGATGTGCCATGAATGTGCCTATGTTTTGCTTTTGCGTGAATGGCCACTTCTTTACAGTATTAATATGAAGGGTGATGACAGGTTATAGTCCCGGCCAACATGGAAATTATGCCATCATTTACTCAGCGTTTCAATCTGGTACGACTGACTTTTTAAGACATTTAGTAGAATGTTCATGGTGCTCTTTTCTTACAATAAAAATAAATGGTTACCAAGGACTGCAAAGCTCCAAAAAAGGACAAAAATATGTCTATACCCTTGTGAAAAAGAAGTATACGTTATCATATTTTTTTTAAAAAGTACTTACTATGGAAATAATATACTTTAAAAGAATACTTAAGTGCAAATTGACTGTAATGGTTTGTAATGGACAATTAATTATGTTCTTTGCAATTAAATAAAATTTTATGTTTTAGTTTAAATTTATATTCAATCAATTTAAATTTAAGAGTGTTTCTTGACCCACTCAAGTAGTACATCTTTATATTTAATTTCAGACTTCTGTTTTCTTTGAAATATGGTTAAAGTGTACAGTTGAAAATATTGACAAGCATTTATAGTAAACTAAAATATACGTTAATGTAATTTCTTTTGAAACTTGTTTGTCATGCATATCAATATATTTGTAATTACAGATTTGTAATGATAAAGTTGCAATTAAATACATTTAAAACATTAAATGTAATTTTAAAGAAAAGAAAATATTTTAACATGCACTTTTCAGATATGAAATACACTACAAGTGCACATTTATTACAATTAAGCACATTTCTTTTTCACAAGGGTATTCAAAGTCTTCCATACAATATGAAATTTAAGTCATTGCTCACTGATTATCTGCTGCAACTCTCAAATCTCATTCACATTTGCGCATATTCAAATATGGCACGACAAAACGTATCAGGTTTTATATCAATGATGGAAGAAAAAATAAGTCGTACAGTGAGTAAATGAAGACAGAATATACATTGTTGGATAAGCAAATAATTTAACATAATTTTTGGTTTTATTAAACATTTGTCCAACAACAAAACAATCAGGTTTGTGCACCTTAGAATTAATGCGGATTGCACGGTTGCGGTTAGATTAGGTAACGTTTTCACTATTCCTGCTGAAGAAGAAATAAATAATTCATGGCCTGTCACAAAACTGATGTCTTGACAGCACAATTTTCGGTTACATGTTCACTTGTGTGGGCAATCACGTAACCTCTCTGCATGCCTCTCAGCAAGATACTGACACAATGAAACAACAATTATGTTCTGACTCTTCAGTATATCTACAAAAACATATTTCTGTTTAACCACATTTTTGATTAAAACTGACATTGGTGCTGCCATGAAATCGGCGAGAAAGGTCAACACTGAATGGTTAGATCCCATAATTTTCTACTTGCACTAATATGCAAAAATATGTTCTAGTGCATGCAAGCTATACCGCCATAAGGGGGATTATGTTATCAGTAATGTATTAAGATTGCCTTAGCTTCTTAAAACTATGAAACTCAAGTATGATCAAGTCCTTCAATATACTTTTGGTGTCTTCAGCAAATCTTTTACATTTTGTAATTCTGTTTTGCCTCCAAAATCCATGTTCTTAATAATATATTATGTCCGGGCCGCAGTCCAATGTAATGTCAATCCAACTTGAAATCTCGCTAACATATTTATTATTACTGAGAGAGAGAGAGAGTCCTTCTGCTGATATATGGCTTTTTTTTTTCTTTTGTAAGTTCTTTTTTCTATTTTTAGAAATATTTAGTTGAGATTCCACTGTAGAGACTGTTTTATTTTTAAAATGCTCTTTTGTCCTTGCACTGTATATATACAGTATATATCTGTAGATAATATTTTTGTAAGTTTTTCTTTTTGCATTTTTCTTTTGCATTTCATTCTGCCTGAAATATTGCTAATACTAAAGACTTTTGGTTGGACTAAAGGTTTTGTTATAGAATATTCTGTGCAAAATGTTCATCCTTGTATCTTCAGACCTGAAAAATGTTTACTCCCACATTTGCTATGTTTTGCTATATTTGTCATGCACAACACAATGAAATGTTGACTATCACAACACATTTTGGTACAATGAACCTAAATGATTTCAGTTCACCACAGAAACACACAGTGCAATAAAAATGACTTTTAAATAAGTTATAGAAACATTTTTCAGTTTATAGAAATATTTTGGCTCTATATAATATATATATTTTTTTTTCATTATTAGCATTTAGCAGTTTGTGATTCCAGCACAACTAGGAAGTATGCATCAGAAATCCAGGTAAACTGTTTCCTGTAAAGGAGTTGTGGATAAAGATTTTTCCTTAGTAATATGCTGACACACGTTCTTATGGAGAGTGCCATGTGACCTTTGACCTTGCGCGTCTCCACAATACAGCGGCACACCAATTAAAAGACACACAGTGGTTTTGAGGGCACAACCTCTACAATTAGAGCCAGTGTTAAAGCACATCATGATGGGCCTGAACACATCCCACTTGACTGGGAAGAACTAAAGCATGTATAAGAGGGTCAGCAGATCAGGATCACTACATATAAAACACACTGGCCAAGACTCAATGAAGTAGACCGTAAAATGGCTTGATGATTATTTGGCCATTTAATATTATTTTGCATATATTGGTATACTTTTGTAATAGTGTATAGATCAGAAATCCTCAAAAGTGGGTGAAAAAAAAATTATATAAAACAAAACAAATCATTTCAACCAAAGCTATACTATATATGCTAAAGTTTCAAAATGTTTAATTGTCTATCTCACATAAAAATATATCAAGTAAAATTTTAATATGATGCACAGTATGTACAGTAACAATGTACATTAAAGTGCATCATAAAATACAATAAACTTTAAATTCAGCACTCAATTTATACAATGTTTCTCCATCTCGCCATAAACCAAGGAGTCCTTGTACTGAAGCGTCTGGCACTATGGAGAGGTGTTCTCTTCACGGATGAATCCCGATTTTCACTGTACACGGCAGATGGCAGACAGTGTGTATGGCGTCGTGTGGGTGAGCGGTTTGCTGATGTCAATGCTGTGGATCGAGTGGCCCATGGTGGCGGTGGGGTTATGGTATGGGCAGGCGTATGTTATGGAAAACGAACACAGGTGCGTTTTATTGATGGCATTTTGAATGTACAGAGATACCGTGATGAGATCCTGAGGCCCATTATTTTTATTATTATTATTCCTGAGGAACCATTATTGTGGTTCATCCACAACCAACACTTCATGTTGTAGCATGATAATGCACGGCCCCATGTTGCAAGGATCTGCACACAATTCCTGGAAGCTGAAAACATTTCAGTTCTTGCATGGCCAGCATACTCACCGGACACGTCACCCATTGAGCATGTTTGGGATGCTCTGGATCGGCATATATGACAGCGTGTTCCAGTTCCTGCCAATATCCAGCAACTTCGCACAGCCATTGAAGAGGAGTGGACCAACATTCCACAGGCCACAATCAACAACTGCGATGCACTGCGTGAGGCAAATGGTGGCCACACCAGATACTGACTGGTTTTCGGACGCCCCCGGACCCCCCGATACAGTAAAACTGCACATTTTAGAGTGGCCTTTTATTGTGGTGAGCCTAAGGCACACCTGTGCAATAATCATGCTGTCTAATCAGCATCTTGATATGCCACACCTGTGAGATGTATGGATTATCTCGGCAAAGGAGAAGTGCTCACTAACACAGATTTAGACAGATTTGTGAACAATATTTGAGAGAAATAGGCCTTTTGTGTACATAGAAAAAGTCTTAGATCTTTGAGTTCAGCTCATGAAAAATGGGGGCAAAAACAAAAGTGTTGCGTTTATAATTTTGTTCAGTGTATATATATATACGTATATATATAAAATGAATTTGAAATTTTACAAATGGTACAGAAGTAGAAAATAAAGTCACATTTAATTACATTTCTGAGTCCAGGATGAAAGTCCAGGATGAAAGAAATTCTGCTGTGTTTCAGTGCACAAATACTTGATTTACTATATCAAGCTGTCATGGTAACCTCTGCCTACTACAGTGTCTTAGACTTTTACTTTATGGCAATTTAATGATGTTTATGAGAACTGAAATAAGGCAAAATACCTGCTATGGACCTTACTTCTTCATTTTTTTTTAATCACAGAAATGCAGAAACCCTTCATCACAAATCCCAATTTCAAAGAAATGTCCAGGGCAATTTTGCAATGTTCTTGTTACCCTTAGAGGTGACTCATTTCTCTTACAAACTGAATATGCTATTGGAGAAGGAAACTGTCAACAGTAAATCCACCCGGCAGTTTCTACGGTCAGGCTGGAATAAGTGCCAAAGCTAAATTCAAAAAGAGAGAGATATATTTAAAAAAAAAACAACCATTGCATACTGAAAAAAACCCCCGAAATAAGAAACAGAAATGTCAAATATTTTTAAGATCTTAAAATTTGTCTTAAAATACACTATTGGCTTTTAAAAGAATAATTCAGTAACCCTTTAAGGACCAATTCTCACTATTAAGTAGTTACTTATTAGCATGCATATTACTAGCATATTGGCTGTTAATTATAAAGCACATATTAATGCCTTATTCTGCATGACCATATTCTAGATCCCTTAATCATACCTAAACTCAACAATTACCTTACTAACTATCAACAAGCATCAAATTAAGAATTTATTGAGGCAAAAGTCAGTTAATAGTGAAGAATTGGTCCCCAAACTAAAGTTTGCCCCAAAAATCAAGAAAGTTATGAGATTTATGCTTAACAACAAACAGTTTGCTAATAGGGTAACAAAGTGTGTATATTCTATGAAAATAATTATTATACAGGATACATATCTTTCTACTTGTAATTAAGTGTACTATTTATTTGTAATTATTTGTGAAATACTTTCTGAGTGAAAATGACCTCAGTTGTATTCAGCTATTCATGCCATGTGAGTATCTGATCTCATGTAGACTTTGCAGGTGAATTGCCCTTCTTCCATTCAAAGCTCTTCAAGATTAAATAGGCATCCAGCTATAATCAGATGACTCCATGGCTAAAGCACTTGAAAAGCACCCAATGCTTACTGCTGAAATAAAGGTCATTCACAGCGATAATCCCTGCTTCATGCTGGATTATTCTTTTATCCTTTCTAAAATTGCTTTCTCTGTAGAGCAATGAAACCCTGGCCTTGTCAAAATGAAT